TTAGATTCATTGATGGGATTGAATATTGAGCGCACGTATTCTCCTAGCGATTGTTTGAAGCTCATTTTCATCTCATTTGTAGACATTTCTTTACCGTCACACAGTGAACAATTCTCTCTTTATTCAATATTTTTGACACTGACTTGACAAAAGTCTATCCAGAGTTATTCCTCTCTTTTAAACTTTACCAATTTTTTCCATCACTCCAACTATCCAATATTCAGTAGTTTGCACTGTGATTTCTTTGCCATTAATGGGGTATAAATAGAAAACGAAGACAAAACCCTACAGCAAATACAAAAGTCATGAAATCATAAGCCAGGAATGATAAGATTGGAAAATGAATTCTCTCAAATTAAAATGGCTCCCAAACAGGGCCTAATACTTGAAGAGAAATTTGGCTTCGAAAATATTAAATGAAGCATCACATCTATATGAACTCTTTCGAGAATGGCTGAACTGCTCGTTGCTAGTTAATGATGAAATTGCTTGCTGCTAGTTAACGACAGAACTGCTTGTCACAGGTAATAGGTTCACAAGCGGAATCAGGTTTTTTTAAAATTGTACTTTGATTTCATCAATAAGGCATAATGTCTAGTGTGATTTCTTGTTGAAAAAGTTATTCAAAGCTTGTTAATTGTCTTCTTTATTTCTTCATTTACTTATTTAAAGCAATAAACAAGATTCTAATTAAAACTTACACAAAAATCAGACAATGAAACACGACAAGTATAAAATCATATCATAAAGTTAAAGAAAGTTTAATATTAAATCAATATTTCCTTAAAACAACAATCAAGATTAGATTAAATCTTACCTAAAATTATACACAATAAAATCGGTAAGTCTATAATCATATCATACAAGATTTATTTGATATACTGATAAATAAACTTAAGGAAAGTTTAATGATAAGCAAATATTTCCTTAACTTAAATTATTTAACCTATCAAATAATATCTAAAATGGTAGATAAATAAATCTGTATTAACTGTAATATGGAAGTGAAAATTGCGTCCCGTTTAAGTGTTAAAAACCATAAAATCCGCAGGTACAGGTTGTGTTGAAAATCGTACAACTAAATCAATCAGGACTAATTGCCTGTTTGGACAACTCATGATTTTTATTTATTTATTATTATTATTTTTTTTTAAGCACTTATCATTGACATTTAAAAATCAATCTATATTAAGACAACTAAAATAATATGTAAAAAATATATCAAAAATATTTTCCCAAATCTTCTGATAAAATGCATTCTTTTTTCTCCTCATCTTATCGATTACATTATGTTAATAACCAATAAGCATTCATTAAAAGGCCATTTTACTAGAAAAAGATTCCTAAACATATCCAAATTGACAAGTAGATAATGTTCTTAGCTTTCTAACATCAATTAATAATTTGGGGGTGGAATTAAGGCCTTGGGATAAGAAAAGCCAACAGAGAAGGCAGTGGATCGATCTTGGGTTTAACAAAATTTTTGAGGGCCAAGGCCTGGAAACCGTAATGGACCGATCCTTTAACGTAATGGGTCATGGGACGTCCAAATCGACCTGTTAAGGGAATAAATCACACATCGATTAAATACCGGAATATTGATTAACTTAAATAGATCTTGGGCTACTCCTCTTAATAAAATTGATTTTATTAAGATTGACTCCAAATTTTAACATGGTATCAGAGTCCAATAAGTTCCAACGAGCTATTCGATTCGATTAAGTCTAAAAAATGAGCACACGGATTTCAAAATTAGTCTGCTCAAAAAGAGCCACCATCATGCGGTGGCATATTAAGGGAATAAATCTCACATCGATTAAATACCGAAATATTGACCAATTTAAATAGATCTTGAACCACTCCTCTTAACAATGTTAACCTTATTAAAATGGACCCCAAATCTTAATATGACCCACCCATTTTTACACTACTAAGCAAAATTGAACTAAAATGGAGTTTATCTTCCTCTCATACTCACATCATGCTTATAGAGAAATCGATAGTGTAACCGTTGGCAACTCCAAAAAGATTCAAGTATTGGATTGCTCCACAAATTTTCACCCGAAATCAACCTGAATATTCCAAGTATCGCAAGAAGATAAGTATAAAATATAATAGTATCATTAGGGCCGTCTGCGCTTGAGATATTAACTACAGTTGAACAGAAAATTACCTCGGCTTTGTTAAGCGATAAAATCTTATATCGATTAAGGATGAAAATATAGATCAACTGATAAGTTTTCAGGCTACTCCTCTTAACAATGTTGATCTTTTAATATAGAACCTTAAGTCTTAACATGATATCAGAGTCCATTAAACTCTAACGAGAAATTTGATTCAATTAAGACTCAATAAATGAACATATGGATTTCAAGATTGGTCTGCTCAAACGAGCTACGATCTTGAGGGGGCATGTTAAGGAATAAAATTTTATATCGATTAAGGATGAAAACATAGATCAACTTATAAGGTCTTGGATTACTCCTCTTAACAAGGTTGACTTTTTAAGATGGAACCTCAAATCTCAACAGCTTTGACAGCATCCATGTAATTATAGTTTCTTTTATCAGTATAGGGATCGCCTCATAGGTAATAAGATATTTGAAGAGCAGAGGTATAGCAAGGCAAAAATGCGATCAAGATCATCACAGATGGACTAGCTATCCATCCTAGTTGAGCAATGACCTAAGGTAAGGACGAGAATCCAATACACATCACCAGTGATGGATCTAGAATTTTGATTGAGCATGTGCGGTCATTGACTGTTAACTGTCGGTAGTAATAAAATATAAAAATTAAATATAATAATTATTTTGCTAAAATTGAACATTTATAATTTTATAATACATGTTAACAATATTCACCAAATGACATAATGGTCAAGTTCTGAATAATTCAAATGAAGAGAATATGTTCGAATCTTTGCAATTGCATTAAAACCACTAAAATAGAATATATAATTCTATTAAATTTACCGTCAAAACTCAACAACTGCCACGATGGTCAAGCTATCAATAATCTTAAAGAGGGGTCATAGGTTCGAGTCCCCCTCACTATTGCATTAGTTTTGGTAAAAATTGTAGAAATAGAAAAATTACAAAATAAATTTGTTAGGAAGAGGTTTGATCATTGGACTTTCTGTTTGTAAGTTGAAGCTCTAACCGAGCTATGGATGATGTTTAAATTTAAAATGAATTACCAGATAGATATATAACCTAAATCCTTTATCTTCTACAACGAAAAAATAATTTATTCTCGATAGATCCAGCCGGCATGTCCGCCGGTGTTCGTCGAGTACTGGATTCGCCACTGCCAATCACTATTGTTATTATGTGAGCATTTGCAGTCTACATAGTTCATATTCAAATACATGTACAGAACATAGAAAATTTCAGCTACAATTAAACTAAAATTATAAAAAATATTGTAAAAATAGATGGAAAGAAAATAATGCCAGTTCTTTTGAGATGGCCACCACAATCACCATCATCAAAAGAACACCCATCTTTGAAACTGTGCATTACAAAAATAAAAGATCATAAAAATTTCTATGTTCACGTAACTATCATCAACTAGAAAATTGAAAACACAAAACAATAGGGAAAATAAAGACAGGTGGCCTTTTTATGGCCACCATCAAAAGCAATCTCAGCCAAGGCAGATCTAGCTGCTTGAGTGAGATAGGGCAGAGCGTCGAGTAGCCATGAGCGCTCGTCCAATATAGCAAGATTGTTTCTTAATGGTTTATTAATTTATATTAAAAGAATCTTCAATCAATATATAAATGTACCAAAATGTAAAAATCATATACATATGAAAATATTGTCCAATACTTTCCAAAATAATAAGGAATAAATATAAATTTTTTGAATCATACACGTATAATCAAGTTTCAAATTTTTATGAACTTAGGCGAAGCCTATGAAATTTTTTTCAAAACAGTGAATTTTAGAGCTATTTTTCATGTTAAAAAAGAATACTGTTTTTCGAGCTCTTAAAAGAATAAAGATCAATCTTAAATTGTCTAAATTTGATTTTTACAAAATAAATTGATAAAATCTAACAACAAGAAGAAATATATTTCTCAAAGAAATTATTTTAGAAACAATAACTAATAATATAAAATTGTTTAGTTATTATTTATTGTGTTAAAAATTGAAAGAAGAAGTGGAGGTGTGGGAAATCAAACTCCACGCATCTCGCATACAAAGCAAGCTATTTACCATATGAGCTACAGCACCAGGAAATGGAAATTATATGATACAGAGTTATTTGATAATTATGCATTATGTTATAAAAGTTTAAAAGAAGAAGTGGAGGTGAAAGGAATCAAATCGGGTGCCTCTCATATGCAAAACAAGCGCTCTACCATTTGGGCTACAACAACTTTCGTTCTGAGCTAGGAAAAGTTAAACAAATTTAACTTGAAAACTTCATTGGAGGTGTGGGAAATCAAACTCCACGCATCTCGCATACAAAGCAAGCTATTTACCATATGAGCTACAGCACCAGGAAATGGAAATTATATGATACAGAGTTATTTGATAATTATGCATTATGTTATAAAAGTTTAAAAGAAGAAGTGGAGGTGAAAGGAATCAAATCGGGTGCCTCTCATATGCAAAACAAGCGCTCTACCATTTGGGCTACAACAACTTTCGTTCTGAGCTAGGAAAAGTTAAACAAATTTAACTTGAAAACTTCATTGATATGTAAAACCCTTTTTTTTTTTTTTTTACGACCGAGCCGGTTGGAGTCGAATTGCTTCTCGTTCATAGTTTATGGGCCTAGCCCAACTTAACCACAATTTTATGAAAGATGACTTTATATGGGGTTAGACAAAACTCTCGAACTCAGTTAATTCGATTCGGTTCTTCTTAATTTAATTATCTGAATGTGTAACATGATTGAAAAATGATAGATTTGGTTCGGTTCTAGATCGAAAATAGAAGAACCAAATTTCTCTAATTTTTAAATTTTTTTTTATATTAAATAAGCGAAATTATATGATTTTTTTTTTCTAAATACATTTTCAAACTAATTAATTGAGCTCAAAATATCATTTTCCTGTTTTTAGCCAAGTCCAACTTTGTAATTAAAATTTCGAATAATCAAAATTGAGTGACCTAAATTTTTCTCAATCACTGTGTTGAACTACTTTATTTTATAAGAGTTAAGATTGAACTTGTCATTAGTCGGATTAATACAGTGTTGTAGTAAGTGTTATAAATTAGTTATGGTATATACCGGTTCAGTTCCATAATTAAATCTGGATGAGAAATTCCCCCTTCTTAAATCCACAAAAAATTCTGATTTGATTCGATTATCTTTAGAATCGAATTGAACTATGTCTAACCCTTATATATACTATAGATGTGGTAGGTTTGAATTTGGAAGGTAGTAGCATAAAATCAGACAATTTGTTCATGGAGATATTAATGGCGCCATTTTTTTTCCATACTTCTTCAAAAGCACTGGTGGAGCCAGCCCCCAATGAGCACCAGCAGTTGCCCGTGCTAGCTCTGCCGATATGTGAATTAAAATAGATTACCTCAAGGAAAACGTTTCCAACGCTGGAATTTTTCCAAACCAAGATCCTCCAGATCCTCAGCATAACTGAAACAGGGAACTATGTCAGTGCAATCCAATAATATCATAAATTCCATAGATCAAGGTTATAATTTAGAGGACAAACCTCAGAGCAGTACGAATTAAAGAGGAATCTAATTTTATGTTCAGTGCAAAAAAGGAATGAAAATTTATGTTAAAAGAGTTGAAGGAAGCAGAAGAATACTTAAAATAGATAAAAATTGGATATATACATAATACATCCATTTGGAGTGTCCTAGGCACATGGAAGCCCGATCGCATTGTTGCCTCCATGCAAATATGCATTATTAATTTTTTTTCCTTTTTAAAATAAATAAATTAGGATAGCCAACACATTTGCCGGTCAAATATATTACAAATATATCAACTAAACTTTAATTTATTATTTTGGCGATTGCAGTTACCAATCTTTCATTGTTTTAGCACTCGAGTCGCGTATGGAGTATTTTACACCTATAATCTATTTATTTTTCAAAGAATTCTAAATCAATGGCAGATTCAAAAGAATGTTTTAATATTATTTAATTAAATATTAATAAACAATTTCGTTATTGCAACCATCGATGATCAACGATCGTGCTACTTCACTCGAGATTCTGGATCGTCACCATTCTAGAGTGACCAATTAAAGAGCATTTAGAGATTATGTCCCCATTTGGGTTCCATTAAAATTTTAATTCACTTTTCCCTTCTTTTATCAACCAGACATTCTTTAATAAAATAATGTTACACCTAAACCCAAATTTTTTCTTCTTTTCTAATCACACATTCTTAAAAAAATTATTATTTCAAAATATAATTTTTTTAAAATCTCACTGAAATTGAGCCCAAATAAGGGCTATACATGAATAAATTGTACAGTGAACAAATTATCAAAAAAAGTTTGCCAAACATGCTGAGGGATCATCGTTTTTTCTACAAGATCAATGGAGAAATGCAAAGTAATATCGACATAATTAGGTTTCAAATTGAGGGAAGGTTCAAAAGTAGGCATCATGCTTGATTAGCTGCATACTTCTCAGTTGCGAAGAGAGAGCACATCCATTATTGAACAACTGAAAATCCCAATATGGATTGCTAATGACATGCGTGTATGTGTGATATTCTATTATCTGCAAATACAAATTGAATAATGTCATTTGCACGTAATGATTTAGAGATTGATTGAATGTAAATTATATAAACAGACTTCTGACTTTTGTTTTTCATTCTATACTCTCTCACTCTCTCTCCCCTTCCCCCATGTCATTATTCAAGTACTGAATTTTCCACAAATTTTCACCTGAAATCCACCTGAAAATTCCAAGTATCACAAGAAGATAAGTATGAAATATAACAGTAATATTAGGGACACCTGCACTCAAGAGATTACCTCGATTGTCTTTGACAGCATCCATGTGAGAATTGTTTCTTGTTCCAGTATTGGGATCAACTGACCGGTAACATAATGCTATTTGAGTAGAGTCAAAACCACGAACAAGATCATCAGAGATGGACCAGCTAACCATCCCAGTTGAGCAGTGGCCCAAGGCAAGGACAGAACTCCAAAACCAATCACTGCTGTTATTATGTGAGAACTTGCAGTCCACACAGCTCCTATTCAAGTACATGTACAGAGCAGAGGAAAATTCAGCTAATATCAAACAAAAATTATAAAAAATAGATGAAAAGAAATTAATACTTGTTCTTTTGAGAAGGCCATCATCATCAAAACATTTGGAACCACCCTGTGGAGACACATCAAATTCTTGGTTATGGTTTTTTTTTTCAACCATCTTTTCTTTGATTCAAACAAGTCAAGAAAATTAAATATCAGAACTGAATGCCGAAGAATACGGTTGTACTATGTTTGTGGGCATTGCTTCAGGCTATATAAACAGGAAGAAGACGAGTGTATGCGAGAATATATGCGTTTCCAGATGCTAGATCACTCTTGAAGAGGTGGGGTGTATGTTAGCTTATACATAATAAAAAAAGGGCTATGTTAGTTTTGCTTGAGAGAAATTATTAGCTAAAATTGATTAATTCGGTCGATAAAACATATGAAAAAAGGGGCCGAATGAATTTGGATTGAACTAATGTCAACTAACTTAAGTGATATTGAAATTCCTAACCACTTAATCCCATAAATCTTCAAGCATATATTAATTTAGTTTAGTTTAGTTTAAGTTACAGCATAAAATCTTGATTTGTTAATTGGTCACCACATAAAGCCCCTGTTTGACAGGGATTAAAATCAAATTTAAGTAGATTTTGATACAACTTGATGAAATGTGTGGTTGAAAAGTTGTGGATCCTACAAAATGTGTGACTAAAATTAGTTATTGACTTTGACTTAGATTAAAATTAAAATCTAAATATTATTTTCTACTGACATGGGATAATTCTAATTGAAGCTAGATTTATAGAAAAAATTGGTTGGAATTTTGGTCTGCATTGCTGGTACTCTTTGTTGGTTGATGCGCTTCTTGTGTGAGTGCTTCACAAAAACCTCTCCACCTGAAAATGTGTAAAATTCACAACCATCCATCCATTCAAAGGTTTGAGGAATAATTTGTTTTAAGTACTGTGTGCCAAATTCTCAGCATATACAAGTGGTAAAGGTGAAAAAAAATAATTTGATCTCTCAAAGAGAACCTTTGATCAAAATAATATGAATGGCCTCTCCTCCATCCTTTACCAGAATGGCAGAATCAGAATAGGGTTCCTTCGATATTAATTGGAAAATCAAAAGGAACCTCAATTTGAGGAAATATAGAGAGGAAGAATTTGTTTTTTAGTATTGTGCGCCATCCTTTCATAAAATTCCCACCTTTCATAAAATTCCCAGCATATATTTGTATGAAAAGTGAAAAAAAAAGTTAATAATTATATTTTAATCTGTCTCTTTCAAAGGGAACCTTTGTGTTACACCCCTATCTAAACCGATCTAAACCACTTCGGAAAGTGCTTCGAAAGTCCACCACTGCATCGAATATCTGAACCCTTCAGAAGTGGTAGCACGAGGTATCCACCACCAATCCGAAGTGCTTCAGAAGTCCACCATTGCATCGTACAAGGTATCCACCATTAACCCGAAGTGTTTCCGAAGTGACTCCACCATCAATGTCCGTGCGTTGCTAACGTGCTGCGAGGCACAAAATAATTCTACTGAACCGATCGAAGTGTCCTTGACGCCGAAGCGCAATGCACTCCGAGGTTCTCCTTCAGCACCGCCACTTTCAGAAAGAGAATCTGTGTCAAGATCCTCTCTACCCCAAAGACCCAATTGATTTGACGTCTCCTTGTGTCTAGTTGATGTGACGTATTAACTTTATGTCAACTCAACTCAGGAGAAGTTATTACCCGTCCACTTTATAGATGTGGCTGATTGACGCCTATAAGCAGACGCCACACGCCGTCAGATACATACACGTGTCCTACATCCAACGGTTCTCCTCACCTACAAATAGCCGAGGTTTGACAAGAGGCAAAGGTAATGAAACTCTTGCAACTTAGCTCTCCATAACAAGAAAATATATATAATCTCCTCCCTACTCACTTGCACAACCTGGGTACTGTTCCAATCAGCGGATACTAATTTGACCGTCGGAGTGTATGCGGCCGCCACCACCCCAGCTGGTTCCGACCGTGTGCATCTGATCGCGTGTTGATTGCATGTAGGGAGGATCACCTGGAGTAGCTATCGATTGGCCATGTAGGAGGTCCAATTTGCATGGTCAACAGATTGGTGCTGTCTGTGGGAAACTTCCCATCCAAAGTTCTACATTTTCCATCGGAAAACCATTGATTTACTCTAAAAGGGGACGTTCTTGAAAAAGAACAAAGTCAAATTACAATCTAAATTCTTATCACCCTTGAAAAAGGAGTAGATACGATGAGTTCTAGCAATGAGGACACAAATCCCAGGATGGACGCCTCTGAAGAAGAGGTACTCCGAAACAATTCACTTACCAAAGACCCCATCACCGACGTCGTCGAGGTGAAAGAACGACCATGCTCACTGAAGGAATGTCCCAAATAGCTGCGAGCATGAGAGAGACCGCAGCTCAGAATATGGCGATGCATGAATTCTTCATGCGAGCCCAAGGTCATCAGGGCGCCCAAATGCCAAGGATCTTACCCAGCCCATGAAGTCCCTGCGTCTCATTCTCGAGGCCATATGAGCCAGCACAGAGAATCCCCCTCAAGAGAGAAGTGAGTACGGAAGTCACTTCCTATGTGCAAAGGAACTAGCCAGCAGAACCGCAATTGGGGGATAACTTCCCACCAGAATGTAAACCAGAAAGGTCAGTCAGTGTCTTTGACCGGATAGGGCGGGACCCTAGTAATAGGGTTCGCTCAGTGGAAAGATCAGTTCGGCAAGGGGAAGAGCAAGAACAAGCACCCCTTCCACCTAGAAATAGAGAAGGAACTTAGTTGATAGAGGTAGCCGAGGTAGAGCACTTTCACCTCCCCAGAACATGTAAGATGATGGGGTCTCCGAAGGGCCTTGTCGATCTTATGAGATTGATGATGATGATGATAACCTCCCTTTCTCAAGGGAGATCTGAAACTCCCCAATGCCTGCAAACTTCGTACCCCCTAAAATCCCAAAGTATGAAGGAAAAGGGGACCCGGAGAAGCACCTCACGAAGTACGTGACACAGATGAGTTTCAAGAGAGCCTCGCCTGCTTTGAAATGCAGAGCCTTCCACCTAACCCTGGCTGGAGCCCCCGAAGTGTGGTACAACATGCAGCCTCCCTTGAGCATTAGGAGTTGGCTAGAGCTGAAAAAGGCCTTCTTGAACTAGTACCTCTCATGTAGAGAATGAAAGGCCCCAGTGCAATGCCTGCAAGATATGAGACAAGCCCTAAGAGAAATGTTGAAAAGTTACCTCGCCAGGTTTACGAACGAGATCACCTACTGCGAACAGGTCACTGATAGAGAAGCTCTTTCAGCCTTGAAAGACGGCCACAACATGAACACTTTGTTCTGGAGAGATGTACGCAGCAAGAATCCTACCACTTATGACGAACTGGTGGAAATGATGAGAGTTGAAATCTTCAGTGAAGAGATGATTGATCACCGAAATGGTGCCGCACGGGGACTCCCTCCACCTTAGAGGCAATTAGGTCAAGGACCCGCAGCGCACCTTGTCACCCAGCAATGGGCCTAGGCAGGGCATACAATAGCTCCCACGTCCGAACATGCACTAGCTTCTGCCACACTAAATGCAGTGCTGGTATTAGCATACGACAATGCCCTTGCTGAGGTGGGACCATCTAGAGGCACTGATAGTACTCGAAAGAAGAAGAAGAAGCGGTCAAGCAGGACCTTAGAAGGGGCAAGGTTCTGCACTTTCTACCAACTCTATGGACACGACACTAGCGAATGTAGAGACGCTCCGCGACGCTCAGATCGGAATAACCCACATCCCTCCAGGAGCGACAAACATTCCTACAGATTCGCTTTCCCGAACAGGCGTGAAAGGAGGCATATAGATCAATCATCCTGGGGACAGAGAGACCAAGCCCCATTTTCTGGAGGCTAAATTATCAGGGAAATTGACACGATCATCGGGGGACCTCACATCGATGGCAACACTAGGAATACCCAAAGGAACTACACAAGGAAAGTAAAGGATCCGCAAATGCTCACATATATCACCAGTCTCAAGAAGCCAATAGGATGGCCCCGATTACCTTCTCCCAAGAAGATGCACAAGAAATTCACCACCCCCATTGTGACGCATTGGTAGTAAGAGCTGTAGTAGCAAGAAATGGACTCAAACACATGCTTGTCGATAATGGTAGCTCGGTGAATATACTGTTCGGCTCTACCTTCGACAAAATGCAAATTGAACACAGGCTAATCTCCATGGCCGACCCACTATTTGGATTTACTGGAGACAGCATCATTCTACGAGGACAAATTACTCTGCCCGTCAAGATAGGTTCAACTCCCCTAGTGGCCCAACATTTCATGGAATTCTTGGTAGTAGACCACAGGGCAGTTTACCACGAAGTATTGGGTAGACTCGCCTTGAAAGATCTTTGAAGATCTTTGGGCTATCACCTACATCCATTACTTGTGTATGAGTTCCCAACTAAGCATGGAATTGCTACGGTTCGAGGCAACCAGATGGGCTCCAGAGCATGTTACCTAAACTCTCTACGAAAATCAGAGCCCCGCACTGTTAATGTAATCATAACGGAGGTTGCGAACGAACGCGACTTGGACGTGGAAATGCTTGACGCCCCTGAAACAGGGCATACTCCGAACAGGAGGAAGATGTTGACATGGAAGAGGCCCCTGAAGAAGAGCACCCTCTTGATGAGTTGGAGCCCCGAATAACTAGCTCAGAACTGAATGCGACCCCGATGGAAGAACTTGAAACTTTTTCCGTCAGCCCAGAGGTCTCCAGTCAGGTCTTGCGGATAGGAAAGACGTTGTCCCCCAAAGTGAAAGAACAAATGATATGCTTCCTGAAAAGGAACAAGGATGTCTTCGCTTGGAAGTACGCAGACATGGTAGGAATAGACCCAAGGATCAATTGCCATCGCCTAAACATCAACGCCGAAAAGACGAGCCCTCAACCCGGAGAGGTACGAGGCGCTAAAAGACGAAGTTAATAAGCTTAGCTGTAGTGGCTTCATCAGAGAAGCCATATATCCAAAGTGGATATCCAACCCAGTCCTCGTGAAGAAGCCTAGCGGAAAATGGAGGGTGTACGTAGACTTCACGAACTTAAATAAAACATGCCCTAAGGATAACATCCCACTGTCGAGGATAGACTAACTTGTGGATTTCACTGCTGGACATGAACTCTTAAGCTTCATGGATGCATACTCAGGATACAACCAGATACCCATGTTCCGACCTGATGAGGAGGCCACATCGTTCATCATAGACAGAGAACTGTACCGCTACAAAGTCATGCCCTTCAGATTGAAAAATGTCGAAGCTACATATCAGAGGCTGTTCAACATGATGTTTGCCAAACTCATTGGCAAAATGATGGAAGTCTACATGGACGACATGCTAGTCAAAAGCCTCCAGGTGAATAAACACGAAAGTCACCTCGACCAGACCTTTCAGATTTTTAGAAAATATAAAACGAAATTGAACCTCCTCAAATGCACCTTCAGTATAGCTTCGGGTCAGTTTTTGGGGGTACATTGTGAACCAAAGGGGAATCGAAGAAAATTCGGTAAATA